TGGGGGGGGAGGGGACATTAGAGTGAAGCCCCTCTGGTACAGAGATGAGTGACCGGGGCGGAGGACCTTTTGGGAAAACTCGGGCACTGCCCCAGGGCCGGGGGAGTGGGGGCCCCGGGGAAATGCCCCTGGAAACCTTTTTCATAGGCTTTTTTGGGGTTTGGGCAAGACACGGGGGCCCCAGATCCCCTATTGCCCGGGGGGCCCCCATGAGTTGTCATCCCCCCCCTGGATGGGGGGTGGGCCCTTTAGAGTGTAAGCTCCTCTGGTTACAGAGACTGCATGTGACTGTGGGGCGAGGGGGACATTAAGAGTGTAAGGCACCTCTGGTTACAGAGACTGAATGTGACTGTGGGGGAGGGGGACATTAGAGAGTAAGCTCCTCTGGATGCTAGGAGACAGATGTGTACTGTAGGGGGAGGAGACATTAGTTGTGTAAGCTCCTCTGGTACAGAGACTGATGTGACTGTGGGGGAGGGGGACATATAGAGTGTAAGCACCCTCTGGTGCAGAGACTGATCGGCAGAGACTGATGTGAATGTGGGGGAGGGGACATTAGAGTGTAAGCTCCTCCGGTACAGAGACTGATGTGACTGCGGGGGGGAGGGGACATTAGAGTGTAAGCTCCTCCGGTACAGAGACTGATGTGACTGTGGGGGAGGGGACATTAGAGTGTAAGCTCCTCTGGTTCAGAGACTGAAGTGACTGTGGGGGGAGGGGACATTAGAGTGTAAGCTCCTCTGGTACAGAGACTGATGGGACTGTGGGGGAGGGGACATTAGAGTGTAAGCTCCTCTGGTACAGAGACTGAAGTGACTGTGGGGGAGGGGACATTAGAGCGTAAGCTCCTCCGGTACAGAGGCTGATGGGACTGTGGGGGAGGGGACATTAGAGTGTAAGCTCCTCCGGTACAGAGGCTGATGGGACTGTGGGGGAGGGGACATTAGAGTGTAAGCTCCTCCGGTACAGAGACTGATGTGACTGTGGGGGAGGGGACATTAGAGTGTAAGCTCCTCTGGTTCAGAGACTGAAGTGACTGTGGGGGGAGGGGACATTAGAGTGTAAGCTCCTCTGGTACAGAGACTGATGGGACTGTGGGGGAGGGGACATTAGAGTGTAAGCTCCTCTGGTACAGAGACTGAAGTGACTGTGGGGGAGGGGACATTAGAGCGTAAGCTCCTCCGGTACAGAGGCTGATGGGACTGTGGGGGGAGGGGACATTAGAGTGTAAGCTCCTCCGGTACAGAGGCTGATGGGACTGTGGGGGAGGGGACATTAGAGTGTAAGCTCCTCTGGTACAGAGGCTGATGTGACTGTGGGGGAGGGGACATTAGAGCGTAAGCTCCTCCGGTACAGAGACTGATGGGACTGTGGGGGAGGGGACATTAGAGTGTAAGCTCCTCCGGTACAGAGGCTGATGGGACTGTGGGGGAGGGGACATTAGAGTGTAAGCTCCTCCGGTACAGAGACTGATGGGACTGCGGCGGGGGGGGGGGACATTAGAGTGTAAGCTCCTCCGGTACAGAGACTGATGGGACTGGCTCAGTGTTCTCTGTACAGCGCTGTGGTCTATGTCAGAGCTATATATTGGAGATGTGCGGAGGTCCCGGGAATAATCGATGTCACACTCGGGGGGGGGGGGGGGGGGGGGGGGGGGGGTTGGGCTCTGATATAAATAGTCGGTCTGTGTATAGCAGGTTGTGTAGATAGTGTTACTGAGTACACAGCTTGCTATGCCCCCCCCTACCCCCCCATCTCTGTGACTTATTGTTGGGATGACAGCCCCGTTCCGGGCCCTGACAGGTGGGGTCCCTCCATACAAGTCACCTTTTCATCCGGGACACCCCGGGGTGCCAGGAAGGGGCCACTCAGCACCAGCTGCCTGTGTCTGTCATGGACAGGATGGAACGTGGGGGGGGGGTTTCTGAGCTCCAAGCAGAATGTCCTGACATTGTCCCGCCTCCTCTTGGATTGTCAGCTCTTCTGCACAGCTCCCCCCTCTCTGTGTGTTTTATACAGCCTATGCCTTTCCAGTAATACCTCCAATGATGGGGGGGGGGGGGGAGGGGTGCAGTGTTGGGGGGGGGGATGGGGGGGAGGGGTGCACTGTTGGTAGTAAAATGATTCAAAGTTTGTAAACTGGAGAAAAGTGATGACCAAAAAGAGAATGAAACAACCAGAAGGTGACCACGAGGGCTCCATAATCTGGGCTCCGCCCTCTGCGCTTTTCCTCCATTGACAATGTTGGAAATCCTCTCTTTGTTGTCACCAGAAGAGGTGTCCCCATCAGGTGATTTCCTGAAAGAGTCACGGCAAGAAAATAGAAGTATCATGGACCTGGAGGGGACTCATTGGGATTGTTACAACCAGGGGCGGACTGACCATTTGGAAACTTGGGCACTGCCCGAGGGCCCGGGGTCAGTAGGGGGCCCCATGAGATGCCCCTGGTACCTTTTTCATAGGCTTTTTTGAGTTTGGGCAAGGACACAGGGGCCCCATAATCCTCTATTGCCCGGGGGCCCCATGAGTTGTCAGTCCGCCCCTGGTTATAACCATGCGGCTACAGACATCAGAAGATGGACATTCCCAGCAATTCCAGTACCAATGGTCACCAGGAAAGATAGAGAGGGCGGGGACACAGGCGGAAATAAAGACCTGACAGGGGCCCGAAATCTTAGCACTGTTTCAGCTTTGGATACACTTTAAGGCAGTGGTCTACAAACTGTGGCCCAAGGGCCAGAGGCGGGCCCTTTGCTTGCCTTTATCTGGCCCTACCACTGACACCAATGATGGGGCACTATTCCTCCCACTGACACCAATGATGGGGCACTATTCCTCCCACTGACACCAATGATGGGGCACTATTCCTCCCACTGACACCAATGATGGGACACTATTCCTCCCACTGACACCAATGATGGGGCACTATTCCTCCCACTGACACCAATGATGGGGCACTATTCCTCCCACTGACACCAATGATGGGGCATATTCCTCCCACTGACACCAATGATGGGGCACTATTCCTCCCACTGACACCAATGATGGGACACTATTCCTCCCACTGATACCAATGATGGATGGGGCACTATTCCTCCCACTGACACCAATGATGGGGCACTATTCCTCCCACTGACACCAATGATGGGGCACTATTCCTCCCACTGACACCAATGATGGGGCACTATTCCTCCCACTGACACCAATGATGAGGCACTATTCCTCCCACTGATACCAATGATGGGGCACTATTCCTCCCACTGACACCAATGATGGGATACTATTCCTCCCACTGACACCAATGATGGGGCACTATTCCTCCCACTGACACCAATGATGGGGCACTATTCCTCCCACTGACACCAATGATGGGGCACTATTCCTCCCACTGACACCAATGATGGGGCACTATTCCTCCACTGATACCAATGATGGGGCACTATTCCTCCCACTGACACCAATGATAGAGCACTATTCCTCCCACTGATACCAATGATGAGGCGCTATTCCTCCCACTGACACCAATGATGGGGCGCTATTCCTCCCACTGACACCAATGATGGGGCGCTATTCCTCCCACTGATACCAATGATGAGGCGCTATTCCTCCCACTGACACCAATGATGGGGCGCTATTCCTCCCACTGACACCAATGATGGGGCGCTATTCCTCCCACTGACACCAATGATGAGGCGCTATTCCTCCCACTGACACCAATGATGGAGCACTATTCCTCCCATTGACACTAATGATGGGGCACTATTCCTCCCACTGACACCAATGATGGAGCACTATTCCTCCCACTGACACCAATGATGGGGCACTATTCCTCCCACTGACACCAATGATGGGGCGCTATTCCTCCCACTGACACCAATGATGGGGCGCTATTCCTCCCACTGACACCAATGATGGGGCGCTATTCCTCCCACTGATACCAATGATGAGGCGCTATTCCTCCCACTGACACCAATGATGAGGCACTATTCCTCCCACTGACACCAATGATGGAGCACTATTCCTCCCATTGACACTAATGATGGGGCACTATTCCTCCCACTGACACCAATGATGGAGCACTATTCCTCCCACTGACACCAATGATGGGGCACTATTCCTCCCACTGACACCAATGATGGGGCACTATTCCTCCCACTGACACCAGTGATGGGGCACTATTCCTCCCACTGATACCAATGATGGGGCACTATTCCTCCCACTGACACCAATAATGGGGCACTATTCTTCCCATTGACACCAATGATGGGGCACTATTCCTCCCACTGACACCAATAATAGAGCACTATTCCTCCCATTGACACTAATGATGGGGCACTATTCCTCCCACTGACACCAATGATGGGGCACTATTCCTCCCACTGACACCAATAATGGGGCACTATTCTTCCCATTGACACCAATGATGGGGCACTATTCCTCCCACTGACACCAATGATGGGGCTCTATTCCTCCCTGATATCAATGATGGAGCACTATTCCTCCCACTGACACCAATGATGGGGCACTATTCCTCCCACTGACACCAGTGATGGGACACTATTCCTCCCACTGACACCAATGACGGGGCACTATTCCTCCCACTGACACCAATGACGGAGCACTATTCCTCCCACTGACACCAATGATGGGCACTATTCCTCCCACTGACACCAATAATGGGGCACTATTCCTCCCATTGACACCAATGATGGGGCACTATTCTTCCAATGACACCATGATGGGGCATTTTCTACTCCCACTGACACCAATGATGGGGCACTATTCCTCCCATTGACACCAATGATGGGACACTATTCCTCCACCGATACCAATGATTGGGCACTATTCCTCCCACTGACACCAATGATTGGGCACTATTCCTCCCACTGACACCAATGATGGAGCACTATTCCTCCCACTGACACCAATGATGGGGCACTATTCCTCCCACTGACACCAATTATGGAGCACTATTCCTCCCACTGATACCAATGATTGGGCACTATTCCTCCCACTGATACCAATGATGGGGCACTATTCCTCCCACTGACACCAATGATTGGGCACTATTCCTCCCACTGACACCAATGATGGGGCACTATTCCTCCCACTGACACCAATGATGGGGCACTATTCCTCCCACTGACATCAGTGATGGGGCACTATTCCTCTATTCCTCCCCACTGACACCGATGATGGGGCACTATTCCTCCCACTGACACCAATGATGGGGCACTATTCCTCCCACTGACACCAATGATGGAGCACTATTCCTCCACTGACACCAATGATGGGGCACTATTCCTCCCACTGACACCAATGATGGGGCACTATTCCTCCCACTGACACCAGTGATGGGGCACTATTCCTTCCACTGACACCAATGATGGGGCACTATTCCTCCCACTGACACCAATGATGGGGCACTATTCCTCCCACTGACACCAATAATGGGGCACTATTCCTCCCACTGACACCAATGATGGGGCACTATTCCTCCCACTGACACCAATGATGGGGCACTATTCCTCCCACTGACACCAATGATGGGGCACTATTCTTCCAATGACACCCATGATGGGGCATTTTCTACTCCCACTGGCCACAATCTTGTCTTCCTAACCTGAAGGACAGTAAACCGGCCCTTTGTTTGGAAAGTTTGGGAGACTCCTGCTCTAAGGGAACTGCCTTTGTGACCCTCAGGTGTGCAAACACTGTCCAGCTGACCCCTCCCAGCCTTACAGAGCTTCTCTATACATCTACAGCACCCCTAGTGGAAGGTGTCAGTACTGCTCCACTCACCCACAGCTCTCCCTGGTGGAGGGGGACAGTACTGCTTTCCACATCTACAGCACCCCTAGTGGAAGGTGTCAGTACTGCTCCACTCATCACCCACAGCTCTCCCTGGTGGAGGGTGACAGTACTGCTTTTCACATCTACAGCACCCCTAGTGGAGGGTTGATGTACTGCTCTGTTCATCCACAGCTCCCCCTGATGGAGGGTGGCAGTACTGTGTTTGCCCATCCACAGTACCCCCTGGAGGACAGTGGAAGAACTGCTTTACTCATCTACAGCATCCCTAGTAGAGGGTGGCGGTGCTGCTGCTCTGCTTGTCCACAGCTCCCCCTGGTGGGGTGGTGGCAGTATTGTTTTACACATGTACAGCTCCCCCCGGTGGAAGGTGGGCAGTACAGCTCATCCCATCCCCCTGCAGGGCAGTGTCAGAACCGCACATCTACAGCTTCTCGGCTGCCTTTTCCCAACATTGGCCGGCAAGGCCATCGTAACAATGGGCCAAGAGTGCGATGTTGTGACCGGGAGGTGGGGGCCAAGGTAATCGATATTTGCATTATGCTGGGACCTCAGCAGGCTCAGCCAGAGGGGGATTCAGATGCTGACTTTTTTACTAACCAGTATTCTGATTTCAGGCTGGATTGGGCCCCTCTGAAGAGCTGGGCCCCACGCTCTCACGCCCCTCCCCCCCCCCCCCCCCCCCCACAGTATACTTGTTGCTTCTGATCACAGTGGGCATTGTTGGTTACAGATTGGTAACATGAAAAGGTGCACGTTCCACAAATCTGGAATATAAACCCTTCTCAGGGTCTCTGGACCTCCAGGCCAGGAGCAGGTAACAATGTACTGATGCAGCTCCCAGCAGGACCATTACATCTGCATCCAGTGGTGTGGCCAGCTGTGCAGTACCTCCTCCTGTCCAGCAGAGGGCGGATGTCACTCACCCAGCAGGAGACACCACCATTGTTAACCCTTTCACCTCCGCTCCACGCTGGGCATCCAGTGCTGGTAGGTCACCAGTGAAAGGCATTTCATCAGTAAAAGCGAAAGTCGCAGAACAATTCTCACCGAGACAGAAATGTCCCTTATTATAGAGATGATCATCTTCCATCAACAAGGATAGGACCCAGAGCGCCTGGGCCAGCCCGGCTGGTATCAAGAAATGATCTCTATGTGCAAAGAGCCAAAAATGTCGCCAGATAATAGCAATCCGATAATGACATATAATGTATATAAAGGACACAGCAATCTCTACCCATCTCTACTTTGCTGTGCCCATTATGAGGGGTTCCCACCATCCCTGTGCTGAGTTCCCCGGTCTGTACGCCCGCTGTGCCCATTATGAGGGGTTCCCACCATCCCTGTGCCGAGTTCCCGGGTCTGTACGCCCGCTGTGCCCATTATGAGGGGTTCCCACCATCCCTGTGCCGAGTTCCGGGTCTGTACGCCCGCTGTGCCCATTATGAGGGCTTCCCACCATCCCTGTGCCGAGTTCCCGGGTCTGTACGCCCGCTGTGCCCATTATGAGGGGTTCCCACCATCCCTGTGTCGAGTTCCCGGGTCCTGTACGCCCGCTGTGCCCATTATGAGGGGTTCCCACCATCCCTGTGCCGATTCCCGGGTGAGGGGTGCCCATTATGAGGGCTTTCCCGCCATCCCTGTCCGAGTTCCCGGGTCTGTACGTCCCCCGCTGTGCCCATTATGAGGGGTTCCCACCATCCCTGTGTCGAG